ACACACACACACACACACACACACACACACACACACACACACACATTCCTCAGCCAGCATCAACCCTGACCAAAAAAAATGAAGTTGGAACCACTAGGCAGGCACAGGAAAATCATACATCAGCTTCTTTGAATTCTTCATGCTTCCCATCCGCTGCCCATCAATTCTTCCCCAAGGATCACTCATGCAGCATAAAACCACCTTCTCTACATACATACACCTTCCCCTTCCAAGCAAAAATATGCCTCTCCTAAGTGCTATTCCCTCAGAGACATGCTCCTAGATTTTTAAGAGGATAACTTCATTGGTGTTAAAATAAGTCTATCCTAAAGACTTCGTGTGATTGCTCCTGGGTCAAGCCTCCATTACCTCTGCCTGGACTGCAATAGTCCCAAAATAGACTTCCATGCTTCCATCTGTTCCTTTCCCTCCATCCTTCTCACTGCTACCTGATGCATGCAAAGAATACCTTGAAACATTAGAAAGAATGAGATAGATCTACTGCACTAGCATGGAAAATATCCTCAACACATTGTAAGTAAAAAGGTCAAGTTACAGAGATAGTGTATGCAAATGACCCAATTTGCATAAAAAATCTGTGTAAGTATAGCAAATGTTGGGAACTGCACTGTCTTATATGGTAGTCACCAGCCACATGTGGCTGTTTACATTTAAATTAATTAGAATTAAGTATAATTTAAAATTCAGTTTCTCAGTTGCTTCAGCCATAGTTCTGTGCTCAATAGCCACTTGTGGCTTGCAGCTACCATATTACACTGCAGATATGGAACATTTCCAACATCAAAGAATGTTCTATTGTCCAGAGCTGGTCTGGAAGGGTATATACATCAAACTGTTCAAAGCAATTACTTCTGAGAATGAAATTGTTCTGATTAATGGGGGAGGGAGGACATACTTTTCAATGTATATTATTTTAAATTTTGTAAAAAAAATAATTATTTTTATAATTTAAAATGAAAAAATTCAGAAACTGATTAAAAATTTAAATGTTTTACAACGTATTAATTTCCTGAGACCCTGGACCCCGAGCAAAACTTCCAGATCATAGGCATCAGAATGTCACTGTAGCTTTATTTGCCAAACAGTCCCGGGCAGATCGTGCCTCTTAGACCCCTTTCCCCCTACACACACCCCAAAGCCCCCCAAAACTGGGAGGTGAGAAAGCTATGAGTGAAACAACATACTACAAGCTGAAGAATTCAAAAGAGGTGTAAATAACTTGCCCTGCCCCTAAAGAACTTAGAATCCTATCAGGAGGCCAGATATGCACATCAAACAATGGAGATCAAAACAATTGAATGGCACATCAATTACACCTAACACATTTAGGGAATTTACCATGTGCCAGGCACTGTTCTAAACACTTTACAAATAATATCTCATCATAATAACCCTATGAGGCAAGTATTTCTATCCCGTTTTACAGGTAGGGAAATAAGCCTAGAGAAATCAAGTATCTAACCTAATGTCATACGAAAATATGCAGGGGGCTTGGGGCTCAGTGCTTTGTTCCTATGGTCCCCCTGGGGAAGGTGGGTATGCAGTGGGGGGCGGGGAGGGGGAAGATCACATGGGTCTGAGTAGAGAGTTCATGCTGGGGACCAGAGATAATCACTATGATTTCTTTTCCCCAGGTAAAACAGACAACTGCCAGCCAGCAGTGGAAGCAAAAAGCCTTACTATCTATGCCCAAGTCCAGAAATCAGGTGTAAGTCCTATACTTTCTTCGTCTGGGGTAAACCTGTCATGTTTCCCATGGGATCTGTATATGTCTGATCTTCATGGGTCTATGTGGGCAGAGAAAATTAGGGAAGCAGAAGTCAGTAACAAAAGCTCTCTAAAAGGGCATTAAACTTCAGGATCAAATGGGACTATTTATTACTCAAAATAATGGGAAATACTGGGTAATTTTCTGGTCATCTGTTCCTTCATAGGAAAAAAATGAGGAAGCTAGAAACATGTGACGTATGACTCCTTCCAGCTCTGCCATTCTAGAAGTCTGTGATTCTGTTGTCAAACTCTCTCCTTCTCTAGGGAAGAGGGTGCAAACTTT